GTTTCGAGCTTAAGATCGCAAACTGCTGGCAAAAATTCGCGACTGAGAGTGACAGGTTTGACCTGGAAGTTGGCATTATTAACTCGCTAAGCCCAAAAATGCAGTTGACATCGACATTGACAGGATTTGGTTGACCAGAAAATCAGAATCCCCAAGCTTATGTTGCCATGTTGTTATATTTATCATATTATATATATATGTCATATGTCATATTTACGCAATAAGTCAAACCTGCTACTCGACCCAAACTAACCCAAAATTTGACAGCTGACACCGCACCAAAAAACCTGCCAAACTTTTGACTAAACATGGCGGCGCTCCAACCAGAGCCAATCAAATCGCGCCACTGTCAGCGGTACCTCCCACCTCCCACCGCCACCCAACCCACTCCCTAACCCAACCTAACCTAACTAATCAAGTATTTAACGCAATAACTAGCTGATAACGTTGTGTAAATTGTAAAAGATATAAAACCAGTTACGTCTAGAGAAACCATTGTGATGTACAATCATACACTCTATATAAATAAGAATATAAATAGAAAAATATAGATATAGATATATTATACAGGGCCGGCTGTAGGCGGGCGAAAAACCTCGCTGGATGGACCAAACCCAATGAAACTGGAACGGAAAGCCGAGTGTGCATCAAAAAACCGACTCCCAGGGGGCGCTGGCGCCCACCCTTCTGTCATCATATCTATGTTGAGCCCTAGCTATGATAACAGCGACTTTTGCGTTTATTTTTGTATTAATCCTGTACATAAATCCGAATAAATCCACTCTTAATGTTCGCTTTCAACCTGTTTTTTGCGCCCCCCCAGTTTGACAAATGCAGCTTCACAAGGTCAATGACAATGACAAGTGACGGCGTTGTTTGGGTTTCAAAGTTGACATTTAATGACGGATTAATTGTCAGAAATTTGCAATTTATGTATGTCAATTTATTGCAACTTGCTTGCCATTTTGAAGACAACGTTTCGAACCTTCTCCTTCATCAGATTTTTGTTTGCCGATTTCCGCTGCGACAATTCGTGTAATTGCTTAAAACTGGTTGAAGACCAGGCGCATTTGTGGCTTCCGAAGGGGGAAATGGCGATTTTTCATTGCCAAACGTTTCGAAAACATTACATCATCAGATTCTTTCAACCCGAGACTCGCGCCTTCCAACTTTCCAATCGATTCTCTTCGAACTTTAGAATTAGGCGGCCTGCTTTTTTCCTCCTAGATGGAAAACGTTTCGAATTTCCACCATCTTCAGATTTTCCACATTTTCAGTGTTAAGTTACAAGCGAAACGTCCTAATTGACACTTTGAATTCCACGTTTTAATGTGGTTTACGCTGGTTTTGACGTTGATAATGTCAGTTTGAACGTCACCAAATTGAAATGTGACATTGACAATTGACAATTGACAAATGAGGTTCCAAATTGACATTGGGAGTACGGAAACATTAAGGAAATTTTGACCAGAACGATCGCATTTTAAAGGAGAAATTTAATTAGAAAATCACATTTTGGACTCTTAACTTTGACATTTAAAGTTGACATTTTAAACGGTTGAAAGCCGGAGTCAAAAGTGAAAAAACCTTAACGTTTGAAATTGACATTTGAAAGGTCAAAAAGTAACTTTTTCGGCTAAAACCCTTGACGGACCGTTGAAGTTTTCTGGCTTGACAGTTCAAATGTTGAGAAAATCGGTTTTGTTCGTCGAAGTGGAAATGTTGCTAAAAAATCCACATTGATAATAGAATATTTGACGTTGAAAGTTGACATTTCAACTGTCAGACGCCAAAAAGTCGGAAAAAGACGACATTCAAGACATGTTGAGGTTAA